TAAGCGGTTTCGAATGACTTCCATTTGCTTTTTTCGCCCCGTGAAAAAAACGTCCAGTAGTGATCGATTCCTTTTAAAGCCCACACGGGCAAGTAAACAATATTCTTACACAAATGGAAGGTGAAAGAATGCCCTTGGACTACCTTTTGCTTGCAGTCTGTCGAAACAAAAAATGACACCACCCCAGTACCCCAGTTGTCCAGTGACTCTGGTAGAAATAGGGAACAGTTGTTGGCCCCTGGGCAGCCCGCTTTGTGTGACTGTTTGCCCGTACTTTTGTGTAAAGGAGTTTTCAATGTCACATATGCCTGGCATACCTGTAGGTCAGGCTGCAGAGCTTGGCAGCTGCCAACGCCGACTTGGGGCGTCAGCTGCAGCAGGCCAAGGAGGAAAGCCAGGCTGCGCAGGCGCTTTGGCGTGCGTGCGGGTTTGGTTTTTCGTGAGTATTATTGGCCCGGGTTGAGTTCACCGGGCGGATGATCTGCTGTAAGGTTTGATTTTCCAGACCTGTGCAAAGCCAGCCAAATCGGAGCCCGCTATGAATCGTGGAATATCTTTGGAAGAAACAGCCTCTTTTTTTTTGCAACGCCAGTGTGGAGGCACAGCTGCAAAAGGCCAAGGGGATAGAAGCTGCGCTGATGGCGGAGCTGGAGCAGTCCAAGGCTGCGGTGTCGGCTGCGGAGAAGGCCAAGGCAGATTTGGAGGCGGCCGAGCGCTTCAAAGCAGACTTGCAGCCGAGCCTTGAGAGCTTCAAGGGCCGGATCCTGGCGCTGGAGGCAGAGCTTGAAAGCGGCGACCAGCTTGCCCAGGCGAGCGCATGCAGTGGCAACGTTTGTTGCTGTGAGAGTTTTGCACAAGCGTCACAGATCTTGGGCAAGGGGAAGTGAGGAAGCGGGAATGCTTTGAGTAGGTGTGTATTTGATGGTGTGCATGATGCAGGTCGAAGCGAGAGACCTTGACAGCCAGGATGAAGGCTTCCGGCCCGGCATGGAGTTTGAATGTCATGTGTCCTAAAGCACTTTTGCAGTAGAGTTGCATTGTGGTGCATGCGTTTGGACGGTTGGTCTTATTTGGTGACTTCCTGTTTGAAAAGCGGCCCCCTTGTTCGCACGGATTGTGACGCTATCGCGCAGCTGACTAGCATGATCCAGGCCCAGCAACGACCCAATCGCATCACCGCTCCTTGTCTTGCTGCGCGCGGCGGCGGCCGCAGGACTGTTTGCAGAGAGGGACGTCTTGTTTGGCGTGAAGGGTGCGGCTGGCCCTTGCACCCTATCACCCTTTGGCCAGGAGGCATCTCTGGAGGAGCTGGGGTTCCGACTGCAGGCGAGATGCTGCAGGATTTGAAAGCAGAGTCTTGCACAGAACTGACCGGTTGTTTGCAGGGCGTTGCGGAGCGGCTGCATGCCCTGAAGCAGAACAAGGCAGAGGTTGAGGCGCGAGCCGCGGGTTTCCTTCTGGATCCCGATGCGCATTTTTTGTTTCTGGCGGGCTTGGGGGGAAGTGTCGCAGGGAAGCGCCCGTGGAACCGCATGGGCACAGGCCAGCAGCGGCTCCTTGGAGCAGGCCAAAGCAGCACTGGAAGCCGAGCTGGAGCAGGCCCAGGCTGCGGTCTCGGCGGCGGAGGAGGCGAAGGCGGAGCTGGCGGCCAAAGTCCAGGAGTCCAAAGATGCCGCGGAGGCGGCCGAGCGCTTCAAAGCGCAGCTGCAGCCGAGCCTTCAGAGCTTCGAGGACCAGATTTCGGTGCTGGAGGCACAGCTCCCCAAGCCTGTCCAGGCGCACTGCGCTTGCTGCTTGCTTGCGGCGATGTTTGGTGCTGCGAGATTTGGGCAGGTGGTGCAGATCTCAAGCGCCAACCAGCCCGTGCAGGCGCATCCCACCCGCTTTCCGTTTGGGTTCTGAAGGTGTCCGTTCGGCTGATAGTTGGATGTGCGGCCCTGGGGGTGCCCGTGTACAAGGAGAGTCTATCCTTGGTTTCGGACACCTCTAGAAGAAGTGCATGTATTGCAATGATGATAATCAATCCCCAAGATGTCGTTGGGAAGCAACATTCCATCCGCAAGCCAAACGCAGGCCGGCGCTGGAGCCGAAGGCTGGATCGAGTCCCACCACCGCCGTTGGTTGGGCACTTTCCTTGAGGTCAGGTTTAGAGGAATGGAAGTTGACTTGTTTTGAGAGTACCCTTTTTCGGGGGGTGGGGCACCAAACGAAAGCTTTTTGTTTTCAGGGAACCATGAGTTGGGCGGGACCTTTTGGTCCGCTAAAGACAAACCCACACCGTTTTGCTCGATGTGCTGCGAGGTTCTGGCACGGCAAAGGCACGCCGGCGATCCTGGTCCCTGTGCGCGTGGCGCCGGCCGCAGGATCGAGCTTTTCATTTCGCTGTCCTGGATTCTGATGAAGACGTAGGATTGATACGCCCCTGCATGATAGGCAAGGATCCTTCACCTGGGGGAAAGTCCTGATACGATATGTGCCTTCTCAGGGAATTGTTTTTGGCGGTTTGTTGACGGGAGGCTGGAGCCTGCGAGGGAGCTGGCGTTGTTACAATGGGTTGTACCCTGGACAACATTATAATATACTACATACTCCCTTCCACAAACATGGCACCTGACAGGAATGTCCAAGAGGACAGTGATCTTGCAGGTGCCCGCCCACATTTGCCATGTTAGTGGGAGAGAGGGTAGCCGTTTAGCGATTCGTCCGGATCCAAGGGGTTTGCGGAAGCGCCTGCAGGAGGCTGCTTCCATTGACGAGCTGGGTGCCCGACTGCAGGCACGGCGCTTTTCTGGCCGTCCTGGCGATCTTTATGCGCCCTTTTTTCCCAGCTTACTAAGCCTGGCGTACAATGACACGGAAGGAGAGGGTGCACGGACAGAGAAGGAAAAGAAAAGAACAAGTAAATGAATGACAGAGGAGCAAAGAAAGAGTGCGCAAGAGCAGGAAAGATTGCACACATATCTCAGGTATTTTGGTCAGAACGTGTACAGTAATCTCCTGTGCCCACCCACATAAAAGGACATGTTCTATCTATATTCAACCTGGTGTAGTTGTGAGCGCCCTTTTGCCGGACTGCAGGGCTTGGTGCAGCAACTGGGCGCGCTGCGAAACGAGAAGGTGGAGGCGGAGGCGGGGGTGAAGCATCATAGGGGGGGGCGAGGAGCGGGCACACACAGGCAGGCAGGCAGGCAGGCAGGCAGGCAGGCAGGCAGGCAAGGAATCAAACCAAAGACAGACAAACAGATGACGGTAGTAAACATATCAAGCTGCACACACGCATTGATTCATATTTGTTTGCATACATGTGTAAAATACATACATATATATGTAATGTGTATATGTATCGATCATAAGACTGCTTCCCCCCTGATTCTTTAACAAGCCAACTAGCGATTTGGCTGGCTAACTAGCCAACTACCGGCCAAACAAATGAGCGTTTACTGTAAATAAAAGGAACTAGCGAACTTGTGAACTTGCAAACCATCTAATCTAGGACCATAGCACACGAACTAGCCAACTGGCTGGCGAATTCAAAACCGAGGCATGAATGAAGAAGTGGACTTTGAATAGTTTCATAGATCTGTGGTACCTCACTGGCTAATTTGTAACTAGCCAACTGAGTCACGCCCTGACTAACTAAGTAGCTAACTGAGTAGTCAATTGATTGATTGATTTGATTCTATTTGATTTGATTTGATTTGATTTGATTGATTGATTTGATTTGATTTGATTTGATTGATTTGATTTGATTTGATTTGATTTGATTTGATATGATTTGAATTCATTGATTTGATTGATTGATTGATTGATTGATTGATTGCTTGCTTGCTTGCTTGCTTGCTTGATTTATTGATTGATTGATTGATTGATTGATTGATTGATTTGAATTGATTTGATTTGATTGATTGATTTGATTTGATTGATTGATTGATTGATTGATTGATTGATTTGATTTGATTTGATTTGATTTGATTTGATTTGATTTGATTTGATTTGATTTGATTTGATTTGATTTGATTTGATTTGATTTGGCTGGCTGGCTGACTGACTGACTGACTGATTCATTCATTCATTCATTCATTCATTCATTCATTCATTCATTCATTCATTTATTCATTCATTCATTCACTCATTGACTCATTGACTGACTGACTGACTGACTGACTGACTGGCTGGCTGGTTGGTTGGCTGGCTTTCTGGCTGGCTGGCTTTCAAGCATTCTACCCTAGCAGCCTGGCACGCATATGCAAAAATAAAAGAAAAGCAAACAAAAGAGCTGCAGAGGATCCCGCAAGCAGACAGACAACGCAGATTTCGACTGAGTGACTGGGGGTCGACCCCCGAAAGTTTACAGGGTTAAGTGGAAAATGCAAAAAAAAAAGCAATCTTGCTCTGACTCGCATGCTTTCAACCATGAATTTTGAGACGAGCCGTAAGCTGAGCAGAATGACCAACTCTCACCTTCCCACCAGTACTTTTTACGACCGCGCAGTGAGCGCGGTGTGCGCGCAAACGCTGCACAAGATCACACCAATCGTGTGCGTCGCTCTTGCGCGCATCACACTCAACGCGCGCGCGCGCGCGCCAAATGTGTTGGGTTTCCGATTTCGGGTACACGTCACGCATGGTTGTGATTGTTCGAAGTTGTCCTGCTTTTTGCGGGATTTCGCGCGCGTAAGTTGTTGGCATATTTGCATGTCATATACACCGTTGTTTTACACCACTCCCACGTCCTTCTGCTCCACGCCAACAGCTTTGAATTGGGACGGCCGCTGGCTTGCCGCGAAATGCATGTATTTGTGATCATTTGGCTGTGGGTCACAACCGTGCACCCCTGCTAAAACATCAAAATCGGTGGCAAATGGATGTTCGTTCACCCCAAAATGGGATCGCCACAGGTTATGCCCCATGGCCATTTGTGCACATCGTTTCGGGTCGTTGCGGTTGGGCTGGGGTAGGTGAAGCTGGAGAACTCGGCTGCTCATGCAGCCGCGCTGGAGGACAAAGTGCGGGAGTTTCAGGCAGCTCGACCCAACGAGTGCGCCTCCTTTCGCCCGGCAGGGACCCCTCCATGCCCCTCACATCCCCCATGCTTTTGATTCAAAAACCCGGGGCGGGGGGGTATGTAAATGAAAGGGAATAGGAACACAGACGTGCCAGGCATTGCTCGCGAGTGAGTTCAGGTGTAAGTGTGGTCTAGGTTTTTACCGCGGGCGTGCGGCAATTGGCTCACTGAGGCGCGGGAGGAGGCAACGGCCACCGCAGAGGCGCAGCTGCAAGGGGCCAGGGAGACGGAAGCCGCGCTCACGGCGGAGCTGGAGCAGTCCAAGGCTGCAGTCTCAGCTGCGGAGGCCAACGCCCAGGAGTCCAGGGCGGATTTGGAGGCGGCCGAGCGCTTCAAAGCGGACTTGCAGCCTGGCCTTGAGAGCTTCAAGGACCGGATCCTGGCGCTGGAGGCGCAGCTTCCTGGCAATCACAGCGAGGCGCGTGGCCTCGCACGCCAGCTGCTTGTTTGGGACGGCGGGTGTGCGACAGGTTGGGTCAGGTGCTCAAGGAGCCCAAGAAGGCCGGGCTGGCAGTCGTGGACGTTTGTTTGTTTGTTTGTTTGCTTGCTTGCTTCCTTGGCTGTTTGTTTGTTTGTTTGTTTGTTTGTGTGTGCTCTGGTGTTTCGATGCGGGTGTTTGCATGCCCAAGGTTTGGCTTGAACGAAGCGTTGAGGTGAAGCAGCTGCAAAGTCGCGCCGCTTCTCGCTGTCCTGCTGCGGGCATCGGCGTAGGTCGCAGGCTGGCACGGAAGAAGGTGCCCGAAATGATCAGTTGAGAAGGTGACTTGACTTACCTTGATGGTCTCTAGCCATTCCCTTGAGTTTTGGCTTTTTAGTGTTCAGTGGGGAACTCACACAAGTTGCGCTTTTGGCAGGGGATCTGAGGACAGCCCAGTTACAGATTTGCATTGGGCATTTTCTTCAGACCTTCAGGCTGCCTTGATACACTATTCAGCATTTTTCAGCGGGGCTGCCTTCTGTTGCTGCCTCTCGTACCAGGAGGTGGCCTCTGTGGAGGACCTTGGCAACCGACTCCAGGCAGGGTGAAGAGGTTGCGCATTGTAGCAGTTTCCTGCGGGGTGCAGCGCTAATCCAACTTGAGTAGATGCAACTGCGACAGGCTCTGGCTCAGCGACTCGACACCTTGAAGAGGGGCAAGTCAGAGGCGGAGGCGTGCGACGTGGCAGCCTAGCAGCTGCTGCGACAGGTGTCCCCAATTTCTGTTCTGTTTCTATTTTGCTGTCGCAGACTTCCTAACCTAAATGACTTTCGGGTCACTTGGGTCATTGGGGTCTTTGGGTCACTTGGGCTTGGGGTACTTAGGCCAGGCCGCTTAGGTCACCGAAGAAACGGGGAGTTGACCCAAGTCACCCAAGTGGCAGTTTTCCCCACCAGCCCCCCAGAAACCAGAATCAGATGTATCCAAAAGTAACACCCGGGGAACTCTTCCATGATGTGCCTTAGTTCAGAAACAGCCGCATAGACCTCCGCTAGGCGCAGCTGGCGACCACTTCCGCAATGGCCGCCGCCCTGGAGCAACAGTTGGCGGAGGGCGAGCCGACGGCGGCTTCGGGAGGGTCAAACTCGGCTGCCCGGCGGGAAGAGGTCGGTCTCCTCTCAAGGTGGCGCCCGAAATTCCGATTGGCGGAGTCTTAAGCGTGTTATACTGCTTGATTTCACAAGGCGTAACGAGGGTTGCAGAGAGGCTTACATAAACCTTTGCAAACTACAGCCATCTTTAACTAGTAGAACCAAACGTCAAAGGAGTTTGCACTTTGACAAATTATAGCCATCTGATTTCGTTTTGCATGTGTAAATCCCACACTAGCGGTACTGACGGCTGGCCACGTTCAGAGCATGTTCTCGCATGCACGAAGCGCCAAAAGCCAAAAGGGCTCTGCTCAATTGGAAGCGAGGTTTCTGGACAGCCAAGCAGGCAACTAGAAATTGTCTTCCCACAGAATTTTCCCGTTCTCGAGGCTTCAATCGGTGTTGAGGTTCTGGACCTCGAGCTCCCCAGCTTTGAGGAGGAGAAATGGCAGGGTCTTTCTGAAGCCGCTTGGGGTGGCGTGGTTGGATCTTTCGCCTTTTTTTCTTTTTGGGAGGAACGCTTCTTTGTTAATTTGTTCTCAGGGCCAAGGAGAGCCTGATTCCCTGCGAAGAAGCAAGAGAGAAAGAGTGCCTCCGGTTTCGGAGACCAGGAGAAACCAGAAAGGTGGCATGCGTGACCATTGCACAAATGGCGAAGGGCTTCACCAAGGCTTAGGCTTCCTCCCCCCCCCCAAGGCTCCCAAGGATTTCATAGACCTTATACTGACACCTTTTGATTTTGGACCAGACAGTGGATTTTGCGAACGCAGGGAGATCTTCTGTCTGGCGCCAGGAGCCGGAGGCTGGCGCGGTGCGAGGAGCAGGCGGCAACGTGCCTCGGCGTTGGGCCTGGAGGGTCTGGGACTTCGCGTAGCGTTGGGTGAGAGACCCCGGAATCTCACTTCTGGGGCTCGCAGTGGGTCATACTGTAGGTGGACAGAATCCTGCACCACGTTGAAACCATGGAGAACCATTGTTTGTTGGCATTCACCGGGGACATCCTTTCAGGGTTTGTTATGTGGTGCTGGATTTCGTCCATCCACAGTAGGGTGACTGACCACTTAGCTTCGCAACAAGGTGGCTTTGTCCTCAAAGTTGCGACCTTTTGGGTGCCTCACGGGCGGGCTTCGTAAAGAAGTAGCCGAATGAGCTACATGTGTACTATCTATTGCATAAGCAGGAACGGTGCTGCAGAGAGAGGGAGAAGAGAAGGAGAAAGAGAAAGAGAAAGAGAAAGAGAAAGAGAAAGGGAAAGAGAAAGGGACAGGGACAGGGAAAGGGAAGGAGAGCTTGATGCCCTCCTTGTAGAACCTAAAGTGTCTGGCTTTGGGGGCGCTCAGGTGAAGCTGCGGACCTTGGCTGCGGCCAACGCCGATTTGGGGCGTCAGCTGCAGCAGGCCAAGGAGGAAAGCCAGGCTGCGCAGGCGCTTTGGCGTGCGTCCGGGTGTGGAACTGGAAACCGACGCCTTGCCCGTCCATGTTTGCAGCTCCCCCCCCAAACAAGGTGGTTTGGTTCCGGGTGATTTCCCTTTTGACACCTCGCAGGAACCACCCCCCCAAACCATGAATCCAAACCCGCGACTTGGGGGGATCCTGGAGGGGCTGATCTTTGCTTAGCCGCATGGAGAAAACACCCGCGGATTGCGGATTGAGGTGATTGACCGACAAGGAACACGTGGGAAGAAGCTTACAGGGTCAACGCGAGGGATCCCCTGAAAATGAGGGACCCCCTCAAAAGTTAAAAGCCGAGCCCGCCCTTTGGCCCCTCAAAGTCCGAACAGTCAAGGCCTTAGTTGGACTTGTTTGACCCCCTGGGCCACTAGTTGGCCACGAAAGGCGAACCATGTGAAACATCTACATGCCTTCTTCGAGCTTTGGGAGCACCATCATTGTCTTGCAGCATGCCGCCTTCTTTGCAACGCCAGCAAGGCCCAGCTGCAAAGGGCCAAGGAGACAGACGCCGCGCTGACGGCGGAGCTGCAGCGTTCCAAGGCTGCGGTGTCGGCTGCGGAGGAGGCCAAGGCGGATTTGGAGGCGGCCGAGCGCTTCAAAGCGGACTTGCAGCCTAGCCTTGAGAGCTTCAAGGACCGGATCCTGGCGCTGGAGGCGCAGCTTCCCGGCGACTCTGAGCAGGCGCAGGCGCAGGCGCGTCGAGCGTGCCTGCATGCACTTGCTGCTTTGAGCGGCGACGTTTGCTGCTGTCATTGTTGGAAACTCAAGTTTTGGGGAAGGGGGAGTCAGCAAGTCAGTTCTGGCACAGTGTTGTGTCAATGCTCTGAGTATGTTTCAGCCATGCTTGTGCTGTACGATCCTTCCAAAGCACTGCGCTGCGCGCTTCCAGTGTACTTTTCAGGTCGACGCACGAGATGCTGAAGACAGCCAGGTTGAAGGCTCTCTGCCCGGCTTGAATGGGGTTTCGCATGTCGAGGGGGTCTGGGGACATGGGTCGTGGACTCGATAGTGAGGTTGCAGTGCCAATGGGCCTAGGGCCTATGGTGCATGCTTTCAGTTTGAACGGAGGGTTGCAAACATGATGCCCCCCTCCCTTTGAAAAAATCAACGCGGCCAAAGTGACCTTTCACTTGTAGTCAGGGCACTGCCACCGCCGCGTGGCTGACTCGCATCATCCAGGCGAAGCCGGCTTGAAGCCGCACCGTAGCTCCTTCTCTTGCTGCATGCGGCGTCGGCCGCAGGACTGTTCGCCGTTTTTGTCGAGTCTTTCGACTGGGAATCATACGACGATGTCAACGCGTTGTCATCAGCACCCTCCGGGCCTGATGTGGCTCGAAGTGCGGAGGAGGTGGCATCTCTGGATGAGCTTGGGTTCAGATTGCAGGCGTGGGATGCTGGCGATGTGTGCGTTGTTTTTTTTTGGGGGGGGGGCGACGAAGCCACGGATTGCACAGAACTGATCTGGCTGTTTGCAGGGGGTTGCGGAGCGACTCAGCGCCTTGACGCAGGGCAAGGCAGAGGTGGAGGCGCGAGCCGCCGGTTATCTGAAACCGAGGGGTTGTCGCGGGGTAGCGCTCGGAAGGTGGTTGCAAGCAGCAAGATGGTACATGTATGCCCGGGGTTTCAGGCAAGATAGGCGATGGTCACAAGGAGTTTCTTCAGGTCTTGTGGATGGCTCTATTGCGCGTCATGGGTGCAGGCCAAGATGCAAAGCACTTCGGCTGCTGCGACTGCCTTGGAGCAGCAGTTGCAGCAGTCGCAGGGGGAGTGCAAGGCCGCCAAGGCATCTTGGTGACAGATCTAAGATTTTGACCTTGAACATTGTCCATTGTGACATCGTGTTGAGTTCAGTTGTGTTGCGCTGCAACGAGTAGGCTGATCACAGAGATTGTCTCCTTTTGAGGGGTGAACCGGTGAACCGTTTCCTGCTTGGATGTTGCGTGCTGCAGTTTCTTCGAGGCAGAGCTGGAGCAGTGCAACGCTGATTTGCAGCAGTCGCAGACCAGCAGCGGATCCTTGGAGCAGGCCAAAGCAGCACTGGAAGCCGAGCTGGAGCAGTCCAAGGCTGCGGTCTCGGCTGCGGAGGAGGCCAAGGCGGAGCTGACGGCTAGATTCCAGGAGTCTAAAGATGCCGTGGATGCGGCCGAGCGCTTCAAAGCGGACTTGCAGCCAAGCCTTGAGAGCTTCAAGGACCGGATCCTGGCGATGGAGGCGCAGCTTCCCGGCAACCAGCCTGCGCAGGCGCTTATGTGAAAGCGATGGTCTGGGATGTTGGGGGAAGGGGGTAGAGCAAACAGGGAGTCAGAGCATCTGGAGCAGGGTGATGCTTTGAGGGCCGCCTTTGCTGGTGTGTGTCGCGCTTGCTGCTGTTTCCTGGCCTCATGCATTTTGCCGCCTTTCTGGCACGTAAATGCCCCGCAGGCCGAGGCAAGAGGCGCTGAAGATGGTCAGGATGAAGGCTGCTTGGTTTTGACAGGGTTTGCATGTTGGCAACCTGTTCAGAAGCTTGATTCGCTTGTGTGTGTGTGTTGTGGGGTTCTTGACTTGGCCTGCGTTGTGCTGTATGTTGGACGCGTTTGGCGCCACATGTTTGTTGCCTGATGGAAGTCTCGGCGAAGGATCGGCCAAGTCGCGTCGCCGCTCCTTCTCATGCTGTGCGCGGCGGCGGCCGCAGGACTATATCGCTTTGAGTGGGCGCTGTCAGCTGGGGTCTGTTGACACGGTATGAAGGTGCGTGCTTGTGAGCGAAGCTTGCATTCATTCAAGCCACTGGCCAGGAGGCGGCGTCTGTGGAGGAGCTTGGGTTCAGATTGCAGGCGTGGGATGCTGCAGGATGGTTTCGGTTTCGTCATCTTTTCCTCTTTTAGCCTGGGGCGAAACTAGTTGACACAAAGCCAAAGCCGGGTCTTGCGTAGAACCGATCCGGCTGTGGGCAGGGTGTTGCGAAGCGGCTCGACGACTTGAAGCAGAGCAAGGCAGAGGTGGAGGCGCGAGCCGCTGCTTTCCCCTTGGGTAGTTGTTGGGGTTGCTGCAGTGTCACAGTGCAGCGCGCGGAATGGATCATTGGTGCAAGATGGTGCGAGGGAGCAAACAGCAAGACGCTATGGGCTCAATTTCCAGAGCGATTCAAGTCTACCGTGCGCACAGGCTAAGATGCAAAGCACTTCGGCTGCTGCGACTGCCTTGGAGCAGCAGTTGCAGCAGTCGCAGGGGGAGTGCAAGGCCGCCAAAGCATCTTGGTGACAGATCTGAGATTTTGACCTTGAACATTGTCCATTGTGACATCGTGTTCAGTTCAGTTGTGTTGCGCTGCAACGAGTAGGCTGATCACAGAGTTTGTCTCCTTTTGAGGGGTGAACCGGTGAACCGTTTCCTGCTTGGATGTTGCGTGCTGCAGTTTCTTCGAGGCAGAGCTGGAGCAGTGCAACGCTGACTTGCAGCAGTCGCAGACCAGCAGCGGATCCTTGGAGCAGGCCAAAGCAGCACTGGAAGCCGAGCTGGAGCAGTCCAAGGCTGCGGTCTCGGCTGCGGAGGAGGCCAAGGCGGAGCTGACGGCTAGATTCCAGGAGTCTAAAGATGCCGTGGATGCGGCCGAGCGCTTCAAAGCGGACTTGCAGCCAAGCCTTGAGAGCTTCAAGGACCGGATCCTGGCGATGGAGGCGCAGCTTCCCGGCGACCAGCCTGCGCAGGCGCTTATGTGAAAGCGATGGTCTGGGATGTTGGGGGAAGGGGGTAAGGCAAACAGGGAGTCAGAGCATCTGGAGCAGGGTGATGCTTTGAGGGCCGCCTTTGTTGGTGTGTGTCGCGCCTGCTGCTGTTTCCTGGCCTCATGCATTTTGCCGCCTTTCTGGCACGTAAATGCCCCGCAGGCCGAGGCAAGAGGCGCTGAAGATGGCCAGGATGAAGGCTGCTTGGTTTTGACAGGGTTTGCATGTTGGCAACCTGTTCAGAAGCCTGATTCGCTTGTGTGTGTGTGTGTTGTGGGGTTCTTGACTTGGCTTGCGTTGTGCTGTATGTTGGACGCGTTTGGCGCCACACCTGATGCAAGTCTCGGCGAAGGATCGGCCAAGTCGCGTCGCCGCTCCTTCTCATGCTGTGCGCGGCGGCGGCCGCAGGACTATATCGCTTTGAGTGGGCGCTGTCAGCTGGGGTCTGTTGACACGGTATGAAGGTGCGTGCTTTGTGAGCGAAGCTTGCATTCATTCAAGCCACTGGCCAGGAGGCGGCGTCTGTGGAGGAGCTTGGGTTCAGATTGCAGGCGTGGGATGCTGCAGGATGGTTTCGGTTTCGTCATCTTTTCCTCTTTTAGCCTGGAGCGAATATAGTTGACACAAAGCCAAAGCCTGGTCTTGCATAGAACCGATCCGGCTGTGGGCAGGGTGTTGCGAAGCGGCTGAACGACTTGAAGCAGAGCAAGGCAGAGGTGGAGGCGCGAGCCGCTGCTTTCCCCTTGGGTAGTTGTTGGGGTGGTTGCAGTGTCACAGTGTAGCGCGCGGAATTGGAACATTGGTGCAAGATGGTGCGAGGGAGCAAGCAGCAAGACGGTATGGGCTCAATTTCCAGTGCGATTCAAGTCTACCGTGCGTGACGGGCACAGGCTAAGATGCAAAACACTTCGGCTGCTGCGACAGCCTTGGAGCAGCAGTTGCAGCAGTCGCAGGAGGAGTGCAAGGCCGCCAAGGCATCTTGGTGACAGATCTAAGATTTTGACCTTGAACATTGTCCATTGTGACATCGTGTTGAGTTCAGTTGTGTTGCGCTGCAACGAGTAGGCTGATCACAAAGTTTGTCTCCTTTTGAGGGGTGAACCGGTGAACCGTTTCCTGCTTGGATGTTGCGTGCTGCAGTTTCTTCGAGGCAGAGCTGGAGCACTGCAAAGCTGACTTGCAGCAGTCGCAGACCAGCAGCGGATCCTTGGAGCAGGCCAAAGCAGCACTGGAAGCCGAGCTGGAGCAGTCCAAGGCTGCGGTCTCGGCTGCGGAGGAGGCCAAGGCGGAGCTGACGGCTAGATTCCAGGAGTCTAAAGATGCCGTGGATGCGGCCGAGCGCTTCAAAGCGGACTTGCAGCCAAGCCTTGAGAGCTTCAAGGACCGAATTCTGGCGCTGGAGGCACAGCTTCCCGGCGACCAGCCTGCGCAGGCGCTTATGTGAAAGCGATGGTCTGGGATGTTGGGGGAAGGGGGTAGAGCAAACAGGGAGTCAGAGCATCTGGAGCAGGGTGATGCTTTGAGGGCCGCCTTTGCTGGTGTGTGTCGCGCTTGCTGCTGTTTCCTGGCCTCATGCATTTTGCCGCCTTTCTGGCACGTAAATGCCCCGCAGGCCGAGGCAAGAGGCGCTGAAGATGGTCAGGATGAAGGCTGCTTGGTTTTGACAGGGTTTGCATGTTGGCAACCTGTGCAGAAGCCTGATTCGCTTGTGTGTGTGTGTTGTGGGGATCTTGACTTGGCCTGCGTTGTGCTGTATGTCGTATGTTGGACGCGTTTGGCGCCACATGTTTGTTGCCTGATGCAAGTCTCGGCGAAGGGTCGGCCAAGTCGCGTCGCCGCTCCTTCTCATGCTGTGCGCGGCGGCGGCCGCAGGACTATATCGCTTTGAGTGGGCGCTGTCAGCTGGGGTCTGTTGACACGGTATGAAGGTGCGTGCTTGTGAACGAAGCTTGCATTCATTCACGCCACTGGCCAGGAGGCGGCGTCTGTGGAGGAGCTTGGGTTCAGATTGCAGGCGTGGGATGCTGCAGGATGGTTTCGGTTTCGTCATCAGAGCGAAACTAGTTGACACAAAGCCAAAGCCGGGTCTAGCATAGAACCGATCCGGCTGTGGGCAGGGTGTTGCGAAGCGGCTCGACGACTTGAAGCAGAGCAAGGCAGAGGTGGAAGCGCGAGCCGCTGCTTTCCCCTTGGGTAGTTGTTGGGGTGGGTGCAGTGTCAGTGTAGCGCGCGGAATGGCACATTGGTGCAAGATGGTGCGAGGGAGCAAACAGCAAGACGCTATGGGCTCAATTTCCAGAGCGATTCAAGTCTACCGTGCGTGATGGGCACAGGCCAAGATGCAAAGCACTTCGGCTGCTGCGACTGCCTTGGAGCAGCAGTTGCAGCAGTCGCAGGGGGAGTGCAAGGCTGCCAAAGCATCTTGGTGACAGATCTGAGATTTTGCCCTTGAACATTGTCCATTGTGACATCGTCTTGAGTTGAGTTGTGTTGCGCTGCAACGCGTAGGCTGATCACAGAGTTTGTCTCCTTTTGAGGGGTGAACCGGTGAACCGTTTCCTGCTTGGATGTTGCGTGCTGCAGTTTCTTCGAGGCAGAGCTGGAGCAGTGCAACGCTGATTTGCAGCAGTCGCAGACCAGCAGCGGATCCTTGGAGCAGGCCAAAGCAGCACTGGAAGCCGAGCTGGAGCAGTCCAAGGCTGCGGTCTCGGCTGCGGAGGAGGCCAAGGCGGAGCTGACGGCTAGATTCCAGGAGTCTAAAGATGCCGTGGATGCGGCCGAGCGCTTCAAAGCGGACTTGCAGCCAAGCCTCGAGAGCTTCAAGGACCGGATCCTGGCGCTGGAGGCGCAGCTTCCCGGCGACCAGCCTGCGCAGGCGCTTATGCGAACGAGATTGGCATTGTAGTTGGCTCGGACGTTGGCGGAAGAGGGTGCGTCAAAGCGCTCACTGGCCGCGTTGATGTTCGCAGGCTGAGGCAAGAGGCGCTGAAGATGGCCAGGATGAAGGCTGCTGGGTATTGATGGCGTTTGCATGTTGGCAACCTGTTCAGAAGCCTGATTCTCTTGTGTGTGTGTGTGTGTTGTGGGGATCTTGACTTGGCTTGCGTTGTGCTGTATGTTGGAAGCGTTTGGCGCCACATGTTCGTTGCCTGATGCAAGTCTCGGCGAAGGATCGGCCAAGTCGCGTCGCCGCTCCTTCTCATGCTGTGCGCGGCGGCGGCCGCAGGACTATGCCGCTTTGGGTGGGCGCTGTCAGCTGGGGTCTGTTGACACGGTATGAAGGTGCGTGCTTGTGAGCGAAGCTTGCATTCATTCAAGCCACTGGCCAGGAGGCGGCGTCTGTGGAGGAGCTTGGGTTCAGATTGCAGGCGTGGGATGCTGCAGGGT